GGCCACACCGAGGCCACCACCGAGTTCTGCCGCCTGGCCGGCAAGGTCGAGGCGGGCGTGATATGCGAGCTGGTCGACGACGGGCAGGTCGTCCCGGGGAGGGCCATCCACACCGACCCGGGGATGCTGCGCGGCGAGGCCTGCGTCGCCTTTGCTAGGAAGTGGGGGATCAAGGTCTGCACCATTGCCGACCTGGTCGACTACGTGGAGAAGACGGAGGGGCCTCTGCAGCTCAATGGATCTGGGGAGTAAGAGCAGAGGCGGCTCTGGGAGGCGAGTTACCAACGGAGAGGAAAGCTTAAAAAAAGGATAAAAAAAAGAAGGACGTAACTACCTAGTCAGACTGATAGACTGGCAGAGACAAGAGGGCAATAGGCACGGTTCGGCGTTTTTGTAAATGCTGTAGATTATCATCACTCATCTCGATGCGATTTATGTCCTGTTCGTGTGAACATGCAAGCGGGAGACTGTCACATGTACAGCTTGACACTTGAGATTTAGAGGACCCAGTAATCCATGCAATGGGAAAGTCAATGCAGTTGGCAATTTTCTGAAACTAACAGTTTTCAAACTTTATGAAGTATGCTTATTCAAAACCCTATCCTAATAAATCCTTTATGCCAATTCTCATGATTTTAGTGGAAATACACCCCGGAACGCCATGGCTAGATGATAATGGCATAGAATGCCTTGATGCCCCGGAGAGAGGGAAGTAGGAAAAGAAAAATCCAACTCATACTTTTTCCAAAGTATGTAGACTGTGTGTGTGGACACATGTGTGTATCTACCTAATCGACATCCACGATGAATGTCGAGATCCCTTACCCGCGTTTCTCTGAACGAAAAAGTTCCAGACTGGAATGACCGCTTTAGGCCATAAAGTCCTCCTCAATATTAGCACGATTGCCCGCATTGTTCAAAGTAAGCTCAGCGGTCCTCTTGAGAAGGTCGTCGGCCTCCTGGGCCGCCTCACGTTCCAGAACAGGCTCGCCCTTGGAATTAGAGCGGACTTGAACCTTCACCTCTCCCAAGATGCCGTCTACTCGAATCGTAGATACAGTCGTGCCACCGGGCGGGGGCTTCAGATTAGGCTGTGGCGCAAGGCTAACGAGCTCGCGGAAGAACGCATTGGCAGTCTCACAGCCATCCAGGAGCCACTTGAGGCAGATGGTAACTCGCTCCTTGGCAAACGGGTTGTGATCGTCGTAAGCGCAACAATTCAACAGAGGTACGATACCATTCCATTGAACAACCTGGAGCTGAACCTTTGCGTTGCCGGGGCTGCTCTGGCCTGCTGGGGGCTGAAGCAAGGTAGCTAGAATTGTAAACAGCTGTCCCTTGATACCAGCCCAAGGGAATTTGTGTGCAGGCTCCTGCAGAGGTGGCGGGGGTGGTGACGGGGACCGACTGTCACTGCCTGTAGCGTATGGCCGTTCAACCATCGGATTGCTATCACCAACATTGCCCTTGTTCTTGCTATTTCCATTTTGTCCCTGTGGTGTTCTCTTTGGGAGCTCAACGAGCGGTTTCTTCAGCACAGCGGCTTCCAGCCCATTAAGAATCACCAAAAGGTCATAGACTGCCTCCCAATCGATCAACTCATTTCGGGTGTCCTGCGACTCGGCAACGGTGGTCAGGAAATCAAGGTACTGCGCCAATCCGTCTCTCGCCCTCTCCATATCCCATGTGTCAACTGGGAATTCTGCGGGATCGCAATGCCCTTCTCGAATTTGTGCTTGGAGATGCATCAGCGCAGCACACTCAGGCACAATTCGAGTGCGGAAAATTCCGAAGAAAAAGTGCATCAGCTTAATGTCCTTTGAATCTTCAGACTTTTGACCTGGAGGCACGGTTGCGTTTGCTCGTGCCCGGAACATGTGGTTGACCAATCGTAGCAGAACCGTCTGGGCAGGAGAAATGATGTCCTTGGGGATCCTCAGGCCGTTCCACGCATAGGGGATCAGCGCACTGTGGTGAATCGCCTCCACAATCTGCGTCGTCACCTGGAAGATGAGGGATTGCTCATCCTTTTCCCAGACGGCGATGAACACGAGCATCTCACGAAGCAAGCTCTTCCCACAATCCAAGGCGAGGAACATCCGGCAGCGAGTCTTTTGCAGATTTTCTCCGGCCCTAGTAAGGCCGCAGCCCGCATTATCTAGAATGCAGGATTTGACAATCATGTGCAGCGCTTCGATTTGCTTGGGGTCCAGAATATTAGGAATCTCAGTCAAAAGACCAGTCAAAGGGCCGTCTCCATACGACTCATCATCATCTGCATCCTCATCATCGATGATATCATCCACGTAATCATGTGGGTAGTCATGGTCGTGATGATGGTGATGGTGATGATGATGGTGGTGATGCGGGCAGTCCAGATCATGTTCGTCGCTTTCATGCCCGTGGTCGTGGTCGTGATCGTGGTCATGGTCATGGTCGTGGTCATGGCTGTGATCGTGCGAGTCATCATGGTCCTCATCCTCGTGATGGTGACACTCGTGACACTCAGGGCAATGTTCAGTATCTGAATAGTCGGCCTCTGCGACCACCGAAGGAGGAGAATGTTCGCCTTGGTAAGAGTGAGCATACCGGTGCACGATGTTTTGCTTGCAATGATCGAGACGTGATTTCGCGACTTCGGTAGTGGGCATTCCGACAATGTACTGATCGTAATTGGGGTCGCGAGCCCGTAGCCACCATGTGTCAATCTCTCTCGAAACTCTGCCGTAGACCTTGTCTTGCTCATACTTGTCGGACTCGTCCGGGTTCCATACCGGGCTGATCTTTTCCTCCGGCATACCCACTGAGTCAATGTCCTCCGGGACCATCTCGTCAGGAAGCCAATTCCATGCCAAGGGTCTGATGGGAGCGAGGTTTCCTGGAGGTTTGTCTGCATGATTCGTGGCGTAGTCTTTCAGCAGCCTCCTTGCCGTAGGACACATTTTGGAGTTTCGATCCAGCCAATGCTGAGTCTGCTGCTTTGCCACATCAGGGCGGAATCCGGACCCATCGCCCTCGTCGGAACCTGGGTATACTCCATCGTCGTCAAATAGAACGTCAAACCAAAATGACATCTTGTTCCTGTCGTGCTTCGCTGTCCAGTTGTGCGCCTGCTGCAACGAGGTGACGAGGAGCTTTTTGTCTACTCATTGTCAGTTTTACTTTGTACGACAAGGTTGGATCGCCGTGGTGTCCTTACAATGCTCAGTGACTTCCGCGAGCTTATTCCTCTGGGCTTCATCCAAAATCTCGCCGTCATATCCTTTACTAGTGACGTTGACGCATAAAATAATAGTCTGATATACCATCTGATCAAAGTGTACGGCAGCACAGATATCTTGAGGGACCTCGGGTTCGGCGTTGACCAGTAGATTACGTGCTATGTGCATCAATTTGATCAACGTGGTGAGATCTTCTTTGATCGTGCCGTGGTTTAGGACGATAAGTCCTGTGCTCTCTTGGGGGCTCACGCCCTTCTCTGGGTCGTTCAAACTCGAAAGCGGCCCAACAGACCTGGTAGTCAAACTAGGGATGGCAGCCGCGAATATTCTAGTCAGCCATATCCAAATGGCGACGTTTCGAGAAAGCGCCTCCCTAGATTTCCTACAGGTGTGTGTCTTCTCCAAGGTCTTGGAAACCATCGAGGCCACCTTTACCGAGGTCAGAGGGCCCATGGGAGGAGATTGGGTAAAATGGCCTTCAAGGCAAACAAGCGCAGCTGAGAAGCATCGCTCCTCGATGGTCTCACTTGAAGACTCATTATCCTGCACGTCCGGCGATGCCTGGGACAACGGATCTGATTCTTGCGGCCGAGGCACGCTAGCTTCGGCATCCATGTTGATGCGCTGGCTCTTGGGCTGGCTGGTATTCCGTCAAATCCCCGATGGTCAGTACTCCAGTTAAGTCGATGACCCTCGGCTGCCTTCAAATGTTGGTGAGGCTCGGCAGAAGTATGTTGAAAATTGGGCCACACAAGAGAAAAAATATGTAAGTGGCGGGGCTCCCCGACCGTAGCCGTGTGTTGACTGCTGGCAGTGAGCTTTGGTAAGCAAATTTGTCAATGCCGCGGGTTTCCCTTTCCCCGGTAAAAGAGAGCAAGAAATGGTGAATATCAAAAAGAAAGCTCGTTCATGAGAATAGAATAAGTATTCGAGCTAGATATCTGCGCATATGGACGGATGTGTATAACTGTACCTGCAGCCGCCTCGTTGCACCAAATATTCACAAGCTGCTTAAGTAATCAGTTCCGGATTGCCCCACCTCTTTATAGGGCGAGCACCGCTCAGTCGTAACTGTTCAGCTGCCTGTAGCACCTATCAAAGTTATTATTACCCCGCCATCAGACTTCATGACAGACGAGGGGCAATCCGTCTATGCCGGAGCGCGTTTGGATGCAACGTTTGGATGCTACATATATGTCTCAAGGGAAAATCTCTGTCCCATTAATATTTGATATCCTGTAGAGCCATCTCACACTCGAATTGGGTCGCTTTACTTAAAGTATCTAGATAGAGAGCACGCCCCGTGCGGTGAAAAAAACTTGTCATTGGCGTATAAAAAAACGGGAGCTGTAGAATGCCGCATTATTAATTAAGGCCAGAGAACAACACGGAGGTCCGCTCGTGAGATTAGAGCCCAACCTGTTTTGGCCAATTACAGCTCTTCTAGTTGGCTGGACCTCCACGCTCTCGCGTCATTTCTGTTCCGCAGCTCCCTTCCTTATCCTTACATATATGGTGGGGTAGCGATAGATCAAGCGTTTTCTGAACCATTTGTGATCACAGAGTATTAGATTCTTTGCCTTTGGTGAGTCGGCCTCATAGAGTGCCCCCCAGCTCATGATTGGGTAGTGAGATGCCAGTCTCGCTAACTGTTCTCTCAGAAGTGACTTTGTTCATCCACAATGTCTTCCCTTCCTACCGCCTTTGACAGTATGTCTTGAACCTTCTCTATCCGCTCTGCAACCCTATTTTTTCCATGAAGAGTTCTCACTCCTATGAGAATTTCCACGGAGAAAGAAAGGGGAGGAGCTTCACATGTACATATATATACTGAGAGTTCACGGCAGAGCCTGTCTCCATCGCCGTCATTGGCGGCACTGGTCTTGGCCAACTCGAGGGCTATGAGCCTATTGCTGTCCTCAACCCCGTCACACCCTGGGGCTCGCCCGCATCGCCAATTCAGATCCTGGCTCACAACGGAACTCACATTGCATTCCTCGCCCGCCACGGAGTTCACCACCAGTACGCACC